CGACATCTACTACTTCTCTCTCGGGACCACGTCCTCACCGGCGGCAAACTACTGTGGCTGGTGCCTTCCAAAAGCGAAGCGGGACAACTTCGGGAATTTCAACGGTTCTGGAGATGTTATGGAAAAGGCCCAGCGACTTCTCCAGTTGATGGAGTGCAAGTGTACTCCAACGTGTTGGAAATCTGCGATCTTCCACCTGGGCAGCCCGAGGACCGCTTCTGGACCACCTTTACTACGGTCACTCAACAAGCCACCACCTGGCTGCTGGACGATGAAGCCTCTGCGGTGTATCCCGTGGATGTTTCGTGTCTGGAGACCCTTACTACCACCGAGTTGGAACGCCTCAACCAACACGTGAGGCAGCTGCATCGGCGCTTTGGGCATCCATCCAACCGGCTACTGATCAAGAACCTGATCCACCGGAATGCCGACGAGAAAGTGATTGCGGCAGCCTCGCAACTGGAGTGCGACGAGTGCATGGAGTCCCAGATCAAGATGCCTGCGCCCGCGGTCAACCTCGACAAGTGCGAGCGCCTATGGTCCTGTCTCCAGGTTGATGGCTTTCATCTTCGTTGCGGAGAAACTGTCTATCACTACCTGTTGATGGTGGACGAAGCCAGTGGCTTTGCGGTGGTGAGAGAGATGTTCTCTCATCCCGAGGAGGAGCACCGAAACATGACTGGCCAAGAAGTGGTACATACCTTGGAAGAAGCGTGGTTCCAGTACTTTGGGTACCCCGACACCCTCAAGCTGGATTTGGAAGGTGCTCTGAGGAGTACCGTCCTACGTGAAGCCTGCTTGGACAAGGGAATCGATCTGGTTCCGGCGCCCGCCGAATACCACGAGATGATTGCTGATGTGGAGCGTGAGATTGGGTTTGTCAAGCAGCATTTGGAACGCTTCTTAAGGGGAGGCTCCTTTGAGCACCCTGGCCAGGCTGCCATTGCGGCAGTGACCGCCCACAATGCGTTGGGGCGGGTCCATGGCTTCTCGCCAATGCAATGGGCCTTGGGGCGAGACCTGTCAGTTGGTGGGCGAGTTCAAGATGCTCCTGGGGATGAGATCTCGGCGGCAACGACCTCTACTACCTTCTCTCAACGCCAGAGCCTCCGACTGGAAGCCGAGCAGGGATTCCTGAAGTATCGTGCTGAACAGCTGCTTTCCCGGGCTAAGAATGCTAAGGTGAGGTCTCAAGCCCACTACTATCCTGGAGACATGGTGTTCTTCCGGCGGATGAAAACGCCAGCCGATCTTCCCGCGAACTCCTGGGTGGATCGACCTCGCCTACGTGGAGCTCGATGGTATGGGCCAGCGAGAGTGCTAAGTTGTGAAACCAAGGTGGAGGAGCGCCACCGGAAGGCCTCTCAATATGTGTGGGCGATCTGTGGAGGAAGACTCAAGAAATTTCATGCCTCTCAACTTCGACATGCGTCGCCCAGTGAGAAGCTCACCCACGAGGCCCTCCGCGACATCACCATGCCGTGGTCTATGACCTCATTGACTCGCCTCCTGGACAAAGGGTCCTTTGATGATGAGACTCGAGAGCGTGCTTCCCGATCATCCTTCATCGGAAAGAAGAAGAAAGGGCTTCAACGACGTCCGGAACGAGTGCCTCGACGCCCGCGGCTACCTCCTGAACAACCACCTTCAGCATCGGCAGCACCTCCAACTGCCCCTTTCGAGTCTGATGAGGAAATGGTGCCGGATTCAGCGATGCGAAAGGCGCCCCGACTACATGAACCACGACCTCCGCCATCCTCTGAGATGGACTTGGATATCGACCGGCTCCTCAATGATCCCCGGTACCTGCCTTCTGCCTCCACCTCAACCTTTCAGGAACAGCGACGGCAGCATGAACTGGATGATCGACCATGGCACGTTCGACAAGGTGATCTTCTCTTCACCGAGGAAGAAGCCCAAGACGGCGTCTATGCCATCACCTTGGACATGCCGGCCAACGACAAAGAGTGGCGAAAGGTCTTGAAGGATCCCAAGAAGTTCATGGCCAAGTCGGTGCAAAAAGGAGTGGAGGTGAGCTGGAATCGTTTGGATGAGAAGCAGCGAGCGGCCATGTCTGAAGCCAAAGCCGCGGAAGTGGACTCATGGCTCACCAATCGTGTGGTGAAAGCTGCTCTGCCCCACATCACGAAGGAGCAAGCCCTTAAGATGAGATGGATCTACACCTTCAAGGCAGCCGAGCCCGGGAAGGTGAAAGCCAAAGCACGTATGGTCATCTTGGGGTACAGCGATCCTTCGCTCCTGGACCAAGAGACATCGTCTCCAGCAATGAGTCGGCAGAGCAAGATGCTTTTCTTCAACTACGCCATGGCGAGACAGTGGAGAATTTTGGCAGGAGATGTGAAGACGGCCTTTCTTCAAGCTCGAGCTCCTGACCGTCAGCATCCTCTGCACGCCCAGCCTCTACCTGAACTTGCGGCCGCCATGAACCTGTCGGAAAGACAAATGGTGGAACTCCTAGGCTCTGCCTACGGGCTAACCTCAGCCCCGAGGGAGTGGTTTCAAGACTTGACGTCTACCCTCCGACGCCTCCATGCAGTTCCTTGTCTTTCAGACCCTTGCATCTGGAGGCTCTTTGCTGATGATGACAAGACCGTCATTGGCCTTGTGGGCCTGTATGTGGACGACATACTGTTTTGCGGGGACGAAAGCAATGACAAGTACTGCAACTTCTTGCACGACCTCCATCAGGCGTACTCCTGGAGCCCGTGGGAGAGTGACAGCTTCCATCACTGCGGAATCCGGGTCCAACAATTTGCAGATGGCAGCATCTTACTGGACCATTCGGAGTTCTGCTCCGAGCTCATGCAAATGCCAGCTCGTGAGAAGGGGGACTTGTCCGAACTGTCAAGTTCAGAGATCACGCAAGCCCGCGCGATCTTGGGGTCCATCCAGTGGAGGGCTTCCCAGAGTGGCCCACACCACAGCGCCAAGGTGTCGTACCTTCTGTCGCTTCTCGCGACACGGAAGGGCGAAGCAGTGGAGCTGGTCAACAAGCTCGTGCGTGAGGTTCATTCGTCCCGCCATGTGTCGGTGAAGGTGCAGCAGCTCGGATGCGACCCCTCTCGACTGGTCTTCGTCGGGTGGAGCGATGCCGCAGTGGCCAACAGACCGGATCTCAAATCCACCGGTGGCCACCTGTTCGGCCTCATGAACCCGGATGAGTTTCGCGCCGGCTATGGGAAGATAAACCCGATCACCTGGAAGTCCAGTCGACTCAACCGAGTTGCGCGGAGCAGCCTCTCAGCAGAGACGCAGGCCTTGGCAGACTTAGATGGCGAAATGATGTTTGCACGACTCACCTGGTCAGAGATGAACGGATGCCGTGGCGACCTCAAGGATAAGGATTCCTGGATCCGCTCCATCCCAGCCACTATGGTCATCGATGCTCGTGCCTTATATGATGCCTTGGAGCGGGGTGACCTGACGATCTCCAACATGAAGGATAAGTTCTCGGCCCTGGAGACTCTTGCCTTGTCCCAGAGCATGACCACTTTGGGAACCTACCTTCAGTGGACGGACAGCGACCACCAGCTTGCTGACGGCCTCACAAAGGTGCAGAAGCAGGACACCCTCAAGCGTTTCCTGACCACCGGGTGCTGGCGATTGCGCCATCCTGGAGCCATCATGAGCGCCAAGAAGCGGCGTGCCCTTGAAGCCTTAGGCCCTTGTTTTGCCCGTGAGGCCGAACGCTGAAAGTTAGTCTTTCGGCAACCGTTTCCGGGGCATGTCAGAGAGGCAGCCTCTTGAGTTGTAGGTAACCTTTGCCTGCATCCAACTTTCAGCACATAATCAGCTGTATCACGCAGGCGCGCCTTTGGCTTATCTGTAGGCTACGCGACATAGTCCTTCTAAAGGAAGCTTGCTTGAAGCCATAGGCTCGGTGCGTGGTCAGTGGACTGACGACAGAGCGACCGTGACGGCCGCAACCGGAAAAGCAGTGACCTCGTTCTGCAGGCCTACGGGGCCATCGGCTTTTGCATCTGTGCTGTGATCGAGCGGTGAGGCTTCCAACACACTTGTGTCACGCGAGGATTGCAATGTTAGCAGAACATGTCAGATGCGAAATGCAAAGCCAGTCAATGGTACCGTTCAACCATCCACGTAACATGTACGGTAGTCGCAACCATGCATATTTCGCCAACATTTGCGAATGCACATGCGGTAACATGCAGATCTAACACTGAACATTTGGAAACCTGCGGATCCAACAATGAACATTTGCGAATGCACATTTAGCAACAATCCCACTCCCACTCTCACTCATCCTCCTCCTCCTCCTGATCCTCCTACACTACGATTACGACGACGGCCAAAAGGAGGGGCGGCGTGAGGTCACGATGGGTGGATTCTGGGCTCCCTGGTGGCCTGCATTCGAGAATGCCCGTGCGGCCATCCAGCTCTGAAAATGTGCCTTGCACCGGCCTGTTGGCACTCCTGCCCGAAAAATGTGCAATATCCGTTGTGCATTTTGATTTGTGTGAATGTGCATTCTATACTGTATAATGCATATTCACTGTTGGGGCCCCTGCCAGATGCGACGCCCGGCCGACGCAGGTACTGCCAGTTGTCAGTTTGGAGCCAGGAATATGCATTCCATGGTGTGAAATGCATATTTTCAGGTCGGAGGGGCAGGAGCGCGTCCCGGTATTGGCAAAATCTGCATTTCACACTATGGAATGCATATTCCTGGCTCCCGACAGCAGGGCCTACAAGCCTTGATTACCAGCCACTAGTGCCTGACCAGTCAAAGTACTTCGAACCCGAGACCTCGTCTGGCAACCCTACAAACCCTAACCTTACCTTTGGTTAGTAGGGAATGGAGGAATGGGGTACAAGTACAACTACTATTACTACCATATCCCTAAACCTGGGGGTTCAGGGTTTGGAAGTTTCGGGAAGGATTTAAAGGGTTTAGGGTCTACGGTTTAGGGAACCGTTTAAGGGTTTAGGGTCAACTTGGTTCGGCTCCTTGCAGCCAGGCGTTCAAAAACGTTCCAGCTTCTTGGCTCACGAGCTCTTTTGGAGCCGACTTGCCTATAGTTGTTCGGAAGCTTTGGCGATGCAGGGCTCTTTAAACGTTTGCTGAATACAGTTCGGGAAGGGCTTGGTAGAACTTAGCAGCATTCCACATCGAGGCTTGTTGGGCCGTGACCTTGTCACTTGTGGCTGGATGGAAGATTCGAGAAAAGACTCTGTCACGACGTAAAACCTTCAGAGGATCCTCGAAAAGCGAATCATACCCTAGCAAAGAGAAGCTTCACGTCAGATCAGCACGGTACCCTCAGCCAAAACCCTGGGGAATCCTAAGCTCTCCAAGACCAGGAAGAATCTCAATGGCTTCAAACCTTCGTTAGGATGTAGAGTCGTAGAGCCGCACCTCTGTGCACATGGGAGTGTCATGAAGTATCCTATTACTACTACTACTACTACTACTACTACTACTACTACTACTACTACTACAAAAAAACTACTGCTACTACTGCTACTGCTACTGCTACTACTACTACTACTACTACTACTACTCCTACTCCTACTCCTACTGCTACTGCTACTGCTACTGCTACTGCTACTGCTTCGAGGTTCAATGCTTGGTGGCAACTGCAAGAGGATCCAAAGTCTTGGATTGTTCATGTCGCGGGTGTCTCGCTGTCTCAAACTGTGCTGGGAGGCGATGTGGGGGGGTTTCAGAAAACAAAGGACCTAACCTAAAGAAACTTAAACAGTCAGATCCTTATCGCAAGGACACCTGAAGAAGGCACCCTGCTTTAAAAGATCCCCATGTTTGTCCAGGCATCATCGAGGCGACCGGAGCGCCGCCGCTGCTCTCCTCCAGCCGTCGGCCGTCCTCGTCGTCGGTACGTGCTGCGAGCACGGGGGATGCAGGCATGAACCACATAGCCCATCATGACATCCCCGAAGCTTTGGGGTCAGGGGCTTGGGCTCTGAGCCCATATACAAGCCTGAGCATTTGCCAGCACCAAGAGCCCTACTTAGCAGGTTCCGGAGTCTTCCGAAGAATGATTCCGCCCCATTGTTCGTGCATGTTTGAGGAACCATGTGCCCGAAAGCCAACGCAAATCCCGATTATCGGGTCAGGCCGGATCTCAACTCATATCCTTCCCGCCGATCTCCGGGCGTGTTGCCTTTTACGCAGGTTCGAAAGGTCTGGATTTCACGAGAAACATGACTCAAACATGGAATTAAGCAGGCCTTCAGTCTCCTACACCCCGAAGCCCAGACTGCGTAGGCCCATGCCCTAAACCCCCCGTTGTTGGATCGAGAGGCCGACGACTCTCCTCTGCTTCCGGTGCGGGATCGCGTGAGGTGGCTCGGAGACCAGGGTGGAAGCATGAAAAACAAAAGCCAGGAACAGGGACCCGGGCAGGTATAAGCAGCCCCAGGCCCAGGGCGGGGTTTGGGGTTCCCTCCTTCGAGGTGTCTTCTGTGGGAAGCCGACATAGCCCAGAGTTTCGGCTGTTTTTAGGCTTTGGGGATTGGTGAAACGAGACCGCTTCGTCCTGCATAGGCGGCGCAGAACAAGCCGGAACGTCAGTGACAAGAGACTTTCACGAAACACAAGGGACAGGCCACAAAATCTGCGAACTTCGGACTAGAGGCCCCACAGGTCAATTCTTCGCGAAGGGGTCGAAGTTTCGGCCCGCAAAGCTAGTAGGACGCAAAACGCTTGCTTGAACCCAGAGACTCCCATATCCCTTACTTGTAATTAAGGAATATACCTTGAATCATGGTAGGATCCCTAATATGAAATAGGGTATATTCCTTAATTAAGGGATATTGGAGTCTCTGGGAAGCTTTTGACTCTTCTACTTGGAGCACACCCTATGCCAGCATTCCGCAGCACCACAGGCTGGCAGCGTCCCACGACGCCAGAGTCCCTTCAACAGCCGCTTGCTTGCAGGTAACAGTAGCAGCAAAGCCTTGAATAGTAAGAATAGTATAGTACAGGGTTTTGGTGTATACAAGTAGCATGTTTACTGGAGGGTGCAGAATTCCAAGATTTATGGGTTCGAATGAGGAGTTCACCTAGGACTTCACTGCAAACCTTCGTGTCGCCAGGTCCCAGTCGCCGCCCATCCGGCGCTGCGGAGCCCCAAGTCTCTCGGAAGGAGAAAAGTCAGGTCACTAGAGGGGCCCAAAAAATTACCAATCGTCTCCTCTTTATGATTATAGTATGTCCCTATATTACAGGGTTCTGGGTATTAGAATGTTACTACGAGTGTTATAGGGCTTAGGGAGCAGCTATCCACCGTACAGAAAACTGAGTTTCTGCTGATTGTAGCTTGGCCTGATTGTGGTGTGGGCGTTGTCCTTTCTGTTTTGATTGTACCCGCGACGCAAGAAGAAAGTTGGTGAGTCAGACGGTACGACTTCAGGGGAGTTGAGTAGACTCGTAAAAAGTTCAGATGTGTCGTTAGGAAGAATCCCGGAGTAAGTTGTGCCGGAGAACTTACTTCTGAAGAAGTTCGTCGAGGGCGTAGGTCTCCAAAAATGTTTTCCTCCCAATGTGCCACGGGAAACGGGCACTCGAAGCGCAATCAAAAGCTTTCACAGCGTACGCGTCCGCATACGCAAATCCAAAGAGCATTGAATCGCATGTGTTTGTGCTACACAGGCCTCGGAATCGTGTTAGGCATGCTGCTTGTTTTCCACAACATACATGTGTGCTGTTCACCAACCTGGGAAAACGATGCGTTTCTCCGACAGAGTGAGAAGAGCCTGCACCTGGATACCACTGTTGGGTACATTTTCTCCAGCATGTTGGCACTGCAGTGCTTTGCGCACAACAGTTTCCTCGCGGACTCTTCGAGGTTCAGCCTCAGACTCGATCTTCCACCGATGCAGCTGCGGCAGATCTCAGCAGGAGGGGATCCAGGACCGTTTCCTTGGCATGGCACCATTGCAGGTTTCAGCAGGCGAACGCCGAAAACCCCGCAAAGATGACTCCTTTGCCACATTTCTCGAGGAGAAGCAGCCAGGGGCGAAGCTCAAGCCCAAGGCGCGAGGGCCCACTGTGTAAGGGATCTTGGGAATTGGTTTTGCAGAAGGTGTTCACCACCATCACCATCAAGCCAGAGAAGTCTCGATGTTGGTTACTGGCTGTCGGATGGTGACTAGTTGGAAACATTACCTTGCTCCAACGCCTCTCGCAGCAGCCATCCACAACAGCATTGCAAAAAGCAGCAACTTCCAAGATTGCCGCATGTACTACCACGAAGAGGACGAGGATGACGACGGCAACTACGATCTGCGAGTGCTGCTGCTGCTGCTGCTGCTGCCGCTGCTACAGCTCCTGCTACCCTCGACTGCTACCGCCATCGAAGATGTGCATCTGGGTAGAGTGCGTTCTCCGACCAAGCCCTCCCACAACTCGATCTGGGGTGTCCCGTCAGTTTGACGGTCTCGACATCTCAAGTCTGAAATCCTACAGTAAATTCTGTATCCAGGAGCTCCCATGCCCCTGCACCTCGGGATGTTCGGGAGAGCCGCGGCAGCCTCGAGAACAGCCCCGCCCCGAGGACCCGAAGGTGTGCTTGTGAGTTTGTCCTTTGTCAGCATTCAGCGACGCACCACGATAAAGCTTGGCGAGTTGGAATTAGAAGAACTAGACCAATCTTGCCGGCTCCCTCGACTTGGTTGGCAAGCTGCTTTGAAAGGAATCCGATTTCAAAACCTGAACCTCAAACTCTACGTGTAGTGGAGTTGCGGTCGTGGATCCTGCTGCTGGTGCTGGTGTTCGCTCTTCTGCTGACTCAATTCTCTATGGCAGACCTGCTGCTAGAAGTAAAAGGTATATACTGGTAGAGCAAGTAGCACTCGGAGTAGCTCAGGAGCAGTTGTTGTTGCTGTTCTAGAAATCGTCTATGCAGCAGATGTTCGACCGGTACCAGTGCGGGATCATTGTGGCTTCGTTTTGCAGACGACTTCTTCACAAATACAAATGCCAGCCCGAAATTAGACCCTTTGGATGCAGAGAGAGAGAGAGAGATATATATATATATATAATATATAGATAGATAGATAGATAGAGACCTTGAGGATTGCGGACTGTGGAAGGGGGAGGCCTTCGGGCCAGGGTTCTCGCAGGAACCCATACCCCAAGCAAGCAAGAAAAAACAGAGAGAGAGGGAGCATGCAGGAGCTCCTTCACCGTGCACGCCCGCACCGAGGACCAAGGTGCCAACGTGGTTTACAGCAACTTTCAACGGCCACGGGACATGCTCCAACATCGAGAATACCTTGAGCAAGCCCTTCCCCGAAAACTAGACTGCACAGACGTGCAATCCCTGAAAAGACGTTACCAGGCGCCATGTAACTGTACTCCTTGAAGATCGTTGGAGGTTAGGATTCCCAGAAGCGCGTTGAGTCCAGCTTTATGAGAGCCTCCTGTGTCGCTCGGGCTCAGCTCGACTTGAGGGGGCTCGACCTTAAATTGAGCCCTAGGGTGTAAAGTGTAGGGTTTAGGGTTCAGCTCAAAGAAGTGGGGGGATCACCAATGCCCCTCCCTGTGCGCAAGGCCCTGTTGATGCCATGGAGGCGCTTCGCCAGATCCACCGCCGCATGGAAGAGACGCACCTTGGACGCTGTCTGGTACGCTGTAGGACCTGCTAAAGTATGACCGCATCGACGTATCACGGTTCTGCGCACATGTTGATCTCGTCACGCCAGGATACAAGCAAACATGGGATTTTTTCTTGATGAGCCTGTTTGGAACATGCGTTCACTAGTTGTAGTTGCTTTAGCCCTGGTGTCGCATGGTTGAGGCACAACTACAGTTACAGGTAGCAAGGTGGGGAACAAGCCGTGAACGGTGATGTTCATGTTGGAAGGCTTGTGGCCGATTTGAATCCTGGAGCCGGTGATGCGTCGGTTTACGGGGCAAGTGCAGTGTGTGTTCGCCTCCGGGTTCAACCGTTCAACTCATCACATCACAGGAAGATGAGGACAATTGCTCCTTGGCTTGTTTTCAAGCGGGGCAGAGTCTGAGAGTGAGAGGTCCGGCTGGGAGAGGTGACAGCTGCTTGCACCAGATTTTGTCATTTGCACGGCAGAAGTCGCTTTTCTCAGGATTTGTTCAGACTATTGGACCGCAGTGGCTCGGATAGCAGCTGGCAAGGGGCGTTCAGATGCAGATCAGTGCTGCCGGCAACCACTCAGCTGCCTCGGACCTTTCTGCTGTAATTCCAGAAGTCAGATCATAATCGATTGGGGCACCCAACAGCTAGCAAAGGTGGAGATGGTACCATCACGAGAAGTGGCTTTGGCTTGATCAGACTGTGCGATAGGCTTCCCGCTGTCCTGCTGTCTACGGAAATTCATCGGTTAATAGAGAGTACAGCTTGGTTCGCTCATTCAAGACCAGGAACGACCCAGGCACCTTGAAATCGGATCACCCTAAACCCTAAACATCCTTGAACCTAAAGCCCCAAGCCGTACACGCAAAGCAGCCAGAGCCACGCCTGTCGATCTTTGAGGTGAGCTCCGGAAGGGTCTCGAAGAGTTGCCTGGCACCAATCGTCGGAAGTGTTGGCTTGGCGATGCGATACGGTGCATCTTAGATCATCATAGCATACTTACGAAGTGGTTAGAGGGGAATGGTGCTAGTGGTACTTGTGGTAAGGGTTACTACAAGGTTGTGACAAGGATAGCAGAAGCTTGCTCTAAGATACTTGCTGCAGTATCTCTCACATGCCCGAGAAGCTCCGAGGATAGGGGTGAACATCGATCCTGCCTCCTTCAAGGCCTTAGTTGGAGACTTGGCCAAAATCAGAGCTATATCGGAAGACGTCAGACTGCCGTAAATAGAATTAGGCAGACATTTTGGTGTGCTAAGGGCATCTGGACAGACACTTGGATTGCATTCTTACCGGTTTTGGGCCCGGTGAACAGAAACTTCGCTGTAAGCATCTTGGGCATGCGTGACGCAGGCATCTGCAGCCTTGCTGAAACTTGTGACCTCGTACTGAAACTAGGTGATGCCATCAGTTCTCAACTTAATGAACTCTGCCAGCCAACGCGGAACCAAAGTCGCATCTGAGGGGATTCCGGCGGCACCATCAACTTGAAAGAAATGGACCGTGGAATCAAGGAAGCAGTTCGGGAGAAGTATGGCAAGGACAGAGTCGGGGTGAAGCCCTCATCGAAAAGGCATGTGTGGACATGCAAGTAGAGATTGTGTGGAGACCAGGACGTCATGATCGACCCTGCTCATTTTATCGAGTACGAGCTGCTCATGGAAGTGAACCGCTCCCTTCACGCAGGCAAGGGACCTTAGGGTTCGACGCCAGGCTTGAGCCTGATGATGCTGATGCTGATGATGCTGGCTTTGGGCCTTTACATTCACAGCCACTTCTGTTGGAATGGGGCGGCTGATGCTGATGATGCTGGCTTTGGGCCTTGGCATTCGCAGCCACTAGTATTGGAAGGGGGCGGCTGATGCTGATGATGCTGGCTTTGGGCCTTTACATTCACAGCCACTTCTGTTGGAATGGGGCGGCTGATGCTGATGATGCTGGCTGTGGGCCTTGGCATTCACAGCCACTTGTGTTGGAAGCGGCGGCTGATGCTGATGATGCTGGCTTTGGGCCTTGACATTCGCAGCCACTAGCGTTGGAAGGGGACGGCTGATGCTGATGATGCTGGCTTTGGGCCTTTACATTCACAGCCACTTCTGTTGGAACGGGGCGGCTGATGCTGATGATGCTGGCTGTGGGCCTTGGCATGCACAGCCACTGGTGTTGGAAGCGGCGGCTGATGCTGATGATGCTGGCTTTGGGCCTTGGCATTCGCAGCCACTAGTGTTGGAAGGGGGCGGCTGATGCTGATGATGCTGGCTTTTGGCCTGTACATTTACAGCCACTTCTGTTGGAACGGGGCGGCTGATGCTGATGATGCTGGCTGTGGGCCTTGGCATGCACAGCCACTGGTGTTGGAAGCGGCGGCTGATGCTGATGATGCTGGCTTTGGGCCTTGGCATTCGCAGCCACTAGTGTTGGAAGGGGGCGGCTGATGCTGATGATGCTGGCTTTTGGCCTGTACATTTACAGCCACTTCTGTGCATTCGCAGCCACTGGTGTTGGAAGCGGCGGCTGATGCTGATGATGCTGGCTTTGGGCCTTGGCATTCGCAGCCACTAGCGTTGGAAGGGGGCGGCTGATGCTGATGATGCTGGCTTTGGGCTTTTACATTCACAGCCACTTCTGTTGGAAGCGGCTGATGCTGATGATGCTGGCTGTAGGCCTTGGCATTCACAGCCACTTGTGTTGGAAGTGGCGGCTGATGCTGATGATGCTGGCTTTGGGCCTTGGCATTCGCAGCCACTAGTGTTGGAAGGGGGCGGCTGATGCTGATGATGCTGTCTTTGGGCCTTTACATTCACAGCCACTTCTGTTGGAACGGGGCGGCTGATGCTGATGATGCTGGCTGTGGGCCTTGGCATTCACAGCCACTGGTGTTGGAAGTGGCGGCTGATGCTGATGATGCTGCCTTTGGGCCTTGGCATTCGCGGCCACTAGTGCTGGAAGGAGGCGGCTGATGCTGATGATGCTGGCTTTGGGCCTTGGCATGCACAGTCTCTAGTGTTGGAAGGAAGCGGCTGATGCTGATGATGCTGGCTTTGGGCCTTGGCATGCACAGTCTCTCGTCTTGGAAGGGGGCGGCTGATGCTGATGATGCTGGCTTTCGGCCTCGGCATTCACAACCATTTCTGTTGGAACAGAGCGGCTCATGCTAATGATGCTGGCTGTGGGCCTTGGCATGCACAGACTCTAGTGTTGGAAGGGGGCGGCTGATGCTGATGATGCTGGCTTTGGGCCTTTACATTCACAGCCCCTTCTGTTGGAACGGGGCGGCTGATGCTGATGATGCTGGCTGTGGGCCTTCGCCTTCACAGCCACTGGTGTTGGAAGCGGCGGCTGATGCTGATTATGCTGGCTTTGGGCCTTGGCATTCGCAGCCACTAGTGTTGGAAGGGGGCGGCTGATGCTGACGATGCTGGCTTTGGGCCTTGGCATGCACAGCCTCTAGTGTTGGAAGAAGGCGGCTGATGCTGATGATGCTAGCTTTTGGCCTCGGCATTCACAGCCACTTCGGTTGGAACGGGGGGGCTGATGCTGATGATGCTGGCTGTGGGCCTTGGCATGCACAGCCTCTAGTGTTGGAAGGGGGCGGCTGATGCTGATGATGCCGGCTTTTGACCTTTAGCCACTTCTGTTGGAACGGGGCGGCTGATGCTGATGATGCTGGCTGTGGGCCTTGGCATTAGTTGGAGGGGGCGGCTGATGCTGATGATGCTGGCTTTGGGCTTTGCCATTCACAGCCACTGCTGTTGGAAGGTGGCGGCTGATGCTGATGATGCTGGCTTTGGGCCTTAGCATTCACAGTCTCTCGTCTTGGAAGGGGGCGGCTGATGCTGATGATGCTGGCTTTCGGCCTCGGCATTCACAACCATTTCTGTTGGAACAGAGCGGCTCATGCTAATGATGCTGGCTGTGGGCCTTGGCATGCACAGACTCTAGTGTTGGAAGGGGGCGGCTGATGCTGATGATGCTGGCTTTGGGCCTTGGCATTCACAGCCACTGGTGTTGGAAGGAGGCGGCTGATACTGATGATGCTGGTTTCAGGCCTTGGCATTCGCAACCACTGGTGTTTGACATTGAAGGAGGCGGCTGACGCTGATGATGCTGGCTTTGGGCCTTAGCATTCACAGCCACCGGTGTTGGAGGGGGGCGGCTGATGCTGATGCTGCTCGTTTTGGGCCTTCGCATTCGCAGCCACGGGAGTTATGTGGGAAAGTTGGGCCTGATGCTCATGACACTTGCTTCCGGCCGTGGCATTCGCAGCCACTGGTGTTGGAAGCGGGCGGCTTATACTGATGATGCTGGCTTTGGGCCTTGGCATTCACAGCCGCTGGTGTTGGAAGGGTGCGGCTGATGGCGCTGATGCTGATGATGCTGGCTTCCGGCCTTGGCATGCACAGCTAGTGTTTGAAGGAGGCTGCTGATGCTGATGATGCTGGATTCGGGCCTTGGCATTCACAGCCTCTAGTGTTTGCTGATGATGCTGGCTTTGGGCCTCGGTATGCACAGCCACTGGTGTTGGAAGGAGGCGGCTGATGCTGATGATGCTGGTTTCAGGCCTTGGCATTCGCAGCCACTGGTGTTTGACATTGAAGGAGGCGGCTGACGCTGATGATGCTGGCTTTGGGCCTTAGCATTCACAGCCACTGGTGTTTGAGGGGGGCGGCTGATGCTGATGCTGCTCGTTTTGAGCCTTCGCATTCGCAGCCACGGGAGTTATGTGGGAAAGTTGGGCTTGATGCTCATGACACTTGCTTCCGGCCGTGGCATTCACAGCCAGTGGCGTTGGAAGGCTGCGGCTGATGCTGATGATGCTGGCTTTGGGCCTTTACATTCACAGCCACTTCTGTTGGAACGGGGCGGCTGATGCTGATGATGCTGGCTGTGCGCCTTGGCATTCACAGCCGCTGGTGTTGGAAGGGGGCGGCTGATGCTGATGATGCTGGCTTTGGGCTTTGGCATTCACAGCCACTGCTGTTGGAAGGTGGCGGCTGATGCTGATGATGCTGGCCTCGGGTTCTGGGGTTCACAGCCACTGGTGTTGGAACGGTGCGGCTGATGGCGCTGATGCTGATGATGCTGGCTTCCGCCCTTGGCATGCACAGCTAGTGTTTGAAGGAGGCCGCTGATGCTGATGATGCTGGCTTCGGGCCTCGGCATTCACAGCCTCTAGTGTTTGCTGATGCTGATGATGCTGGCTTTGGGCCTTGGCATTCGCGGGCGGCTAACGCTGATGATGCTGGCTTCGGGCCTTAGCATTCGCAGCGACTGGTGTTGGAGGGGGGCGGCGGATGCTCATGATGCTGGCTTTGGGCCTTGGCGTTCGCAGCCACAGAAGTTATGTGGGAAAGTTGCGACTGATGCTCATGACACTTGCTTCGGGCCGTGGCATTCGCAGCCCCTGGTGTTGGAAGCGGGCGGCTCATACTGATGATGCTGGCTTTGGGCCTTGAGATTCAGAGCCGCTGTTGTTGGAAGGGTGCGGCTGATGCTGATGGTGCTGGCTTTGGGCCGTGCCATTCGCAGCCACTGGTGTTGGAAGCGGGCGGCTGATACTGACGATGCTGGCTTCGGGCCTTGGCATTCAAAGCCATTAGTGTTGGCAGGGGCCGCTTATGGTGACGATGGGCTTCGGGCCTTGGCATTCACAGCCTCTAGTGTTTGAAGTGGGCGGCTGATGCTGATGATGCTGGCTTTGGAACGGGGCGGCTGATGCTGATGATGCTGGCTGTGGGCCTTGGCATTCACAGCCACTGGTGGCGGCTGATGCTGATGATGCTGGCTGCAGGCACCACTGGTGTTTGAAGGGGGCGGCTGACGCTAATGATGCTGGCTTCGGGCCTTAGCATTCACAGCCACTGGTGTTGGAGGGGGGCGGCTGATGCTGATGATGCTGGTTTTGGGCCTTGGCGTTCGCAGCCACGGGAGTTATGTGGGAAAGTTGGGCCTGATGCTCATGACACTTGCTTCCGGCCGTGGCATTCGCAGCCACTGGTGTTGGAAGCGTGCGGCTCATACTGATGATGCTGGCTTTGGGCCTTGGCATTCACAGCCGCTGGTGTTGGAAGGGTGCGGCTGATGGCGCTGATGCTGATGATGCTGGCTTCCGGCCTTGCCATGCACAGCTAGTGTTTGAAGGAGGCGGCTCATGCTGATGGTACTGGCTGTGGGCCGTGCCATTCGCAGCCACTGGTGTTGGAAGCGGGCGGCTGACACTGATGATGCTGGCTTTGGGGCTTGGCATTCAAAGCCATTAGTGTTGGCAGGGGTCCGCTGACTCTGATGATGCTGGCTTCGGGCCTTGGCATTCAACAGCCTCTGGCGTTTGAGGATGATGCTGGCCTCGGGTTTTGGGATTCACAGTCACTGGTGTTAGGAGAGGATGGCTGATGCTGATGATGCTGGCTTCGGGCCTTGGCATTCACAGCCTCTAGTGTTTGAAGTGGGTTGCTGATGCTGATGATGCTGGCTTTGGGCCTCGGCATTCACAGTCACCGGTGTTGGAAGGGTCCGGCTGATGCTGATGATGCTGGGCTCGGGTCTTGGCATTGAAAGCCACTGGTGTTGGAAGGAGGCGCTGATGCTCATGATGCTGGCTTTGGGCTGTGGCATTCAAAGCCACTGGTGTTAGAAAGCGGCTACTGATGCTGATGATGCTGGCTCTCTCCTTAGCATTCAAAACCACTAGTGTTGGAAGGGGGCGGCTGATGCTGATAATGCTGGCTCGAGCTATTGGTGTTGGAAGAGCGCGGCTGATACTGATGATGCTGGTTTTGGGCCTTGGCATTCACAGCAACTGGTGTTGGAAGGGGGCTGATGATCTGAGCCTTGGCATTCCAAGCCACTAGTAAACTTAGTAAACACTAGTGTTGGAAGAGGGCGGCTGATGCTGATGATTCTGAAATTGGGTGTTGGCACTGGCAACCACACTGGTGTTGTAATGTTGCGGCTGATGCGGATGATGCTGGTTTGCTCTGGGCGATAGCACTTGCGGCCACTGGTGTTGGAAGGGGCGGCTGGTGCTGCTGATGCTGGTTTCGAGTTTTGTTAATCGCAGCCATTTTGACGTTGGCAGGGGGCGGCTGATACTAATGATGTTGGTCGCAGAAACTGGTATTGTACTGATGTGGCTGATGCTGATGACGATGTTGGCTGGCTTTGGGCAATGGCATTCGCAGCCACCGGTGTTGGAAGGCGGCGGCTGATGCCGATGATGCTGTCTTTGGTTGGGCCTTAGCACGGTCAGCCACCGATGCTGATGATGCTGTCCTTAGCACTGACTGCCACTGGTGTTGAAACGGTGTGGCCGACAGTGGGCTGCTGATGCTGGCTTTGGCGGTGGGACGCCGATGTGGATGATGCTGGCTTTGGGAATCGGCATTCACAGCCACTGGTGTGGAAAGGGTTCGGCTGATGCTGATGAAGCTGGCTAGTTAGGCTAGTTCTGGGCCTTGGCACTCGCAGCCACTGGTCTCGGAACGGAACGGCTGATGCTGATGATGGTATCTTTTGGACTTGGCACCTGGCAACCAGCGGTGTTGGAAGGGGGGCAGCTGATGTGCGGTGGCACTCGTTTCTCTGGGCAATGGCGCTTGCGGCTACTGTTATTGGAAAGGGGCGACTGATACTGATGGTGTTGGCCCTGGCACTCACAGCCACTGGTGTGGGAACTGTTGATGCTGGTTTGGGCCTTGGCATCGGCCGCTCAACTTAATGAATTGTGCGCCATGAAGGCCTGATGCTTGTGCCTAGTTTGGGCTGGAAACCGCGCTCCTGCCACAGTCCCGTGCTCATGTGTGCCTTCAAGCGTCCGTCAAGTTCGAACAGATTCTAGCCTTTGCCATAACTCCATTCTGTCCTACTCCTTAGGCTTTCCGTTGTGGTAGCGACCCGAGAAAGCAGCCACAGGACCGTGCACTATTTGGGAAGTTGCCACGGTAGACGTGCCCCATCTGCCCTTCTCCCTCCTCTGCTTGCACCACATCCCGCCCCTCCCTTTGGGTTGTGGTTGTAGTTGTAGGGTGTGGCACTGGTTTGGGTTGAGGGCTGACCGTAGGACATACCGATACACTGGTCATCTCGCATCCCTACATCCAAAGTAGATGTAGGTGCCTACACACAAACTTTTACACACACCATGTTCACCCCAGTTTCTCGTGGCGTCGCAACGTACACATAATTAATTGAAGAGAGGTACTCCTGTGGGAATGACCATTCTCGACCACCTGCAGGCACACAGATGATCTTTGGAAACCGCGTCACCGACAGCCGCAGCTTCTTCCGGGCCATCGACCGGGACAACAGCTCCTCACCGTAGCAATAGAGACTGTTTTGGCCTGACAGGTCTGCCCGCACGTTGTCATCACAATGCCAATGGATCCCAATGGCCAACTATGCCATATCCCCACCGCAAGCCTGGGTAGTTAACGGAACCTACCAGCCGGTAGCTGGTAACATGTGGATAAAACACTTAGTCAGATCGCGCTGACGAGTGAGTCGGACAGGAGCTAGAGTGACACCCAGTTTTCCGAACTCCAAGCAACCCCAACCACTAAGCATTTAAAACCGTTACGTAGTTTCCCAATGCCCAACCTTTAAAATTGTTGGGTTCTTATAGTTTAGTAGTAACCGGAAAGTTTAACTTTTGATTTCTCTGGCTTATAGGGGAGGTAAGAACCCTAAACCTAAACCGCCTAAGCCTTAAGCCCAAAAACCTACTGCCTTCCAAGGGGGCTCAATGCTTTAGCTTACTTCCACTGTTCCACCAGGTACCCTGCAATGCGGGCTTCGTCCTTGCCAAGTAAGGGAAAAAGCCTTTGAAACTCTAAACCCTTATAGAGGCCTTTAAAGGAACCCTGATAGTACCCTTAAATCCCTTAAAGGACCCCTTTAAGGACCCCAAAGGTACCCCCTAAAGCCTGCTTCCCATGACGGACCGAGGCGGAGAGCTGGATGCTTCGGAGCTGGCCAAGGGGCTCCTGAAGTTGGGAATCCAGGCGCCTTTGGGCAAAGTGCGGGAAGCAGGCTTAGGGGTTCCTTTAATGGGGTTACTATAAGGGTACTATAAGGGCTCCTTTAAAGGGCTTTGGGCAAAGTTAGGGCTTGGGCTTAGGATCGCGGGGGGTAGATAGTTGGAGTGTAGTTCAGTGGGTTTAAAGCTTAATAGGCGTCGGAGTTGGGATTGAAGTGGAGTTTAGTTTGCTGCGTGTAGGCTTAAGAAGTTAGGGTTTAGATTGATCGGTTTAGGCTTGGGATTTGGGGTTCAGGATTCAGGAGTAATCAGGGTTTGACTTGGTAAGTATGGGCGTAGGATTTGGATTTAGGTTGATTTGTGTTAAATGTAGGGTAGAAGGGTTTAAATTCCAAAAAGGCCCAGTGCAAAGCAGGGCAAGGGGTGACGACGATTGGCCTGGACGAAGAACAAGAGTTGCCAGGGTTGTGCAGCCTTGCAACACTTGGGGCATGCAAACTTTTCATGCGTAGAGTCCGCTTAGGATTCAGAGTTCAGATTTCTGAGTTTTCGGATGCTGAGTTGCGGAATTGCTCCAATGACCGATGCTGCCCCGCATCATGCGACAAGATGCCTAAGTGTAGGACCGCATGAACCCCGCGCTTGAGCTTGCAGGTTGCATGTCAAGGAGTCTTGAACTCTTAGAGTGAGTGGCGAAGTTCTGAGCCCCTCTTGAACAGCACCCTGCTGTGGAGGCTTGAAAGATACAAAATGACTATCCCGAGAAGCCCTTGGAAAGAAACACTATGCCAGACTCCAAGACCGTAGTTTGATCTTTAGGGCCCTGTCATAAACCCTACAGAAGTCGTTCCACCCTCATGAATGGCCATTTCATGTTAAAAAGCGACTCCTAAACTAAACCCAGGTGACGAACGAGGGCCTCATGCACGACTTGGTGGATTCCATAGAATCTCGGCCGGCTTTCTGCTAATATGGTCGGTGATACAAAGAAGGGAAGGGAGTACGAACATGCATAACATGTGATGAATAGGAGTCATAGGAGAACGACGCTGGTGTGGGCGTGTGTGCGCGACTCAGAGCAATCCTTTTGGCAGGAGGCTTTGCATGTCGAAAGTTGCGTGTAACCTGAATGCATATGATGGCGATCACCCGCCCCTTCACGAGGACAAAAACTCGAGTGGACTCATCGACCGTGAGGAGTCAGCGGGCTTCTGAGCCCGTAGAAAGACAGGTTGCAGCGTTTTTCTGTTTGCTGTAGTTAGGGGCAGCGCAGTTTGAGTTAGACCGTCTTCGATTTTGGTGATTTGATCCCCATAACCTCTTCCTGTCAAGACCAAATCTTGGTCGTTGTCAGTGCTTCTGCACAGACCCTGCGCACCAACCATGCGACATGCATTCATGCTTTTGACCGGGAAACGGAGAATCAGTTACTCAGAGTGATCGGGCCTGTTGGAACATCCACATGGCTATGAGCTAGCCAGACTGACATTGTTGCTTGCTATGGCAGGCGTGACACAGACCCTGAACCCCGAAAGCGAACCCACTCTGTTCGTGGAGGAGTTTGTGAAGGCGCTCCAAAATCCTGAAGAGCTTTTCGCCCTGCCCGAAGCGAAACCGAAGAAGGAGCGTGCCCCAGTGGCTTGGAAGCTTGATGCTTTGGATTCAGGATGAGGTTTCGAGAGAGTTTTGCGTTTTAGCGACCCGAATAAGACTCTCACCCCCCACAGAGCTTTAGGGTCGCTGCAAGCACCTTTGGGTTTCAGATGCACTGAAAGCCTTGGCTGAAAAGGCGACAAGAACGAAGGTCACGCTGGCTTGCAGAATCGTAGAGTATGTGAGACCTCAGCTGGAGCATCCATGGCATTTCAATACTTCTTGAGTCTTGGGCCATACCCTAAACCTCTACAGCAGCGGCAACAGCAGCAACGACAACAACAACAAGCACCAAAGCACAATGACAACGACATGAACAACAGCCGAAACCACCATCGGAATAATGCATGGGTAGACATTAAAGCCAGAAAGCATAGGCGTACATAAAGAAACAAAACTGTCCCGATGTAAGAAGCCTTTCCTGCACGCCAGGTAGAGCCAGGCCGTGAGGAAGACGCGACGAAAGTTTTGGCGGCGATGCACGAGCACCTCTCTAACTCCAAGCCCCCCGGCAAGTTGAGAGAGCGGGGATTGGAGTATTGAGGCATGGATATAGGCAATATTAAGCCAATGAAGGAGTTTCGGAGTTAGGGGTTTAGGAAATTTTGGGGGTTAACAGATGAGGGAGTTGGGGTTAGGCGACGAAACTGGCTAGGAGCAGCTGTGGCTACTTTCATCACCAGAATCGGATGACATTGACGACAATCTTCCGCGTGCGAGCAACAGTATTGAATTTCTTCCTCGCCCTCATCCATTGCGAGGAATGGTGAATGGTCATGCAAACACCAATCACTGCATTGCTGGGATCCTTCTTATGCTTATAGTACAATGGGCCCCAAAACCCTATTCTAATTACTAAGGCTGCTCGGATCCTTAAGTTCATCTCGACAGAAGGACTCGGACAGTGGACTGGTTCCGCAAGATGGACACGAGCGGCGACGGCAAAGTCTCGCGAGCCGAGCCCCGTCCAAAAGCTCTGGGCCTCCGAACTCAACACCTCTCTTCCAACGCGAGGGGGTTACTTCAGAAAAGTGTGTATCTTTTGCCTCTTCTGAAGCTGCCTTTAGAGTTGAAGGGGAACAGTGTCGAATGTAGCTTTGACAGCCATGCAAGATTTTGGTGTGTGTGTGTGTGCTCACGATTGAAATCTGCTCCGCCAGCATGTTTCTCATGAGTCTTACATAGCAGTCGGCAAGCTAAATCCGCTCATGTTGGGATCCTTGTGTGTGGTGTTCACAAGAGCGACAACAAGGGCCTCTAACCTACTGTCCAGACTCAAGAAATGAATGACTGAGGAATTGAAACGGGGCTTGAAAGAGATGGGCTGTGCATTGACAGCTTCCGAGCTCTTGGCGATTATCAACTACTTGGACAAGGCCAGGCTCAGCATATGATGTATGTATATCTGTATGTATGTACCCATGTATACCACCTTCCGGATGGGAGATTTCCCCAGTAACACTCTGGGGTCTTGCGTCCAGGGCAGAGACAGTGTTCATTGATTGAGGTCCCCATCCTAATATTGACAGCATATGGTGTAAGTCTGATGCCCGCGTCGTTGCGTTTATACAGGATGCTCACGGCGCACGTCTCCTGCCGTGGATTCTAAATTTTACGACATGGACCACTTGTTGCTTTCGAAACTTGGAATCGCAGCAGTACTTGCAAGAAACGAGATAGGTCTCGTGCTTCCGAAACGTGCTAGTACCAGTACTTGGGCGAAAATAATAATATAATAAAACTAATAATAGTAGTAACAAAAAAATAATAATAATAATAATAATGATAGCAATAATAATGAAGCACTTTCGTGGTGGTCCTGGAGCCGCCAGAGGGCGGGGGGAGAAGTGCTCTCGAAGGTTTCTGAATCCCGCCAGGACTTCAGGGAAAGCGATACAAGAAACGACTTGGGATATTATATATATATATATATATATATACAGATGCTGACTACTTACATTCTGTGCGTTTTCACAAGCAATCTTCCCCCAGTTCGCACACGACAGGGGTCGCATGGCTTCATGCTCCAAATGGTCCAGTATTTCACTGTTTGGGGATCTCCGCTGCACGAGTGTTTAGGGCTTGGTGCGAATGGCTCGTTGTTTGGTTTGCCATCATCCCCAGATTCAGATGATGGTTTGGGATCCCCCGAAGCGGAAGAACGTCGCTCAAGGGGACCCCGAAATGGTTTGACAGGTTCCAGCCACTGCTGGTGCAGAGTTGAAGTTGAAGCCATCTAACACACGGAGCAGCTTCAGCGCTTTCCTTCGATTCTCACCCAGTTAGGGCTTGGTGTGGAGATAGGAGGCTTCAATCCCCCACGGCAGTGCTGGTGCCAGGATTCGTCCGGGGCAGTGAGCCTTCAAGAGTTCCTCGGCAGAGTTTGTTGCTGGCCCGGTGCCTATTCGGTAGACTCAGCTGGGCCTGTGCCCTTGCTCTGCCGTTTTGCACACTGCAGACATTTCAGGCTGCGCGGAACATGTCTACACCGCCCCGAATGCTCAGGCTTCAGCGAGGCATGAACGCTGCTGTCAGGGCCGTCGCGGCAGCTGCCGGGGCATTGGAGCCGGTCGTAGAAGGTGCCTGCCGTAGAAAGCCGAAATCCAGCCGAAGAGGAAGACACGCACGTACGCGCACTCACACACCCACACACGCCACGCGCGCACACGCACGCCGCACGCGCGCACACACACACACGCGCATAGGCCGCTGACTTGATGCAAACGACTAGCCAGTCAACTCGTCACAGGCACGATATATGATGTTGAGAGGCTTCATTGCAGACCGGCAGTAATACGAGGGTCCGTTGGATGGGAGGCCCGGCATCCAACGCCTTCGAAGCCCTGGTCCAAATCAACGCGGCGCTGCGAAGCAACACCCAGCTGATCATGGGCACACGGGTCACGGATGCCCGGAGCTTCTTTAAGGCAATGGACAAAGACGACAGCGGCAGCCTGGATAAGACAGAAGTGGCCCGCGGCTTGAAGAGGCTTGGCATTGAGGCGAGTCCAGACCTGCTAGATCAGATCGTGGCAGCCATCGATGTAAACAACGATGGCGTCCTCGAGATGAAAGAGCTGGTCCGAGCACTGAAGGACCCATCCCGGAAAACGTGTCATCATGCCATATCGTTGTGGCTTTCTGCAGAGAGAAGAATTACATATACACAACAGCCATACTGCTTGCGCCCCGGCTCACCGAGCGAACTCCCGCTGCAGGACCCACGAGAGGCAGCCCCGCCGACGGCAAGCGACGCACCAGCCGGCCTTGTCGCAGAAAGTCCCGGCGCTGATGATGTCGAAGCCACTGAGCCGCCTGCGGCGGCAAGATCCCTGAGCCCACTTCGCGAGGCCCGCGATGCTGCTGCGCCCCTTGTGACTTGGCCCTCTTGAGCACACTTCACTTTTGTTAGAAGATTCCTTGGCAAAGAACCCAGTGATGTGCATGGAAGGGGGCTAGGGGAAGAGCAGAATTCAGGAAACCTCGGAGCCCACGGAAAATGCAGAGGAGGCCCCAGGCCCTGCTCCGGAAAGTCCCGACGCCCTGATGATGGCGGCACCGGCGGCACCAGCAGCAGACTCAGCGCCAAGCCAAAATGACTCGAAGGAATCCGCACAGGAGCCCGGGCGTTCCAAAACCGACATCGCAACATCCTGCGACATACGGTAGACGACCTTGGATACCTTTTGCAGGAAGTATAGTAAAGAGGCAATTCGCAGGCAGGCCCCTTTTCCATTGAAGCCAATCAGGATCAATCGGCTAAGCAAGGCTTTGAGTTTCAAGGTCTGTTCTGAACCTTAACTAGTCGGTCTATGTCAACATGGTTCGTCTGGCCACGAACCCACGAAGGAGCCAGCTTCGTCCTCAAGCATCCTGCCCGATGCCCCTGCCGAGGCAGGGGCTCCCAACTCGGTTCATTCACACGGTTTAGGGTTTAGGGCTTCTGGAAAGGGGGCTCTTGCCGTAACCCGTAACCCGGCTGCTGGACAACGAGGCCTGCTGAGATCAGACCTCTTTGCAAGGATTTTCGGACCATCAGACACCCCCGGAAGACCCCCGGGCACGCCGCAGGCGCAGACGGTGCAGCCCAGCAGCCAGGCTTCCAGTCCCGCAAGTCCCTCCAGGAAGTCGCGCGTCACCGTGCCCCGAATGAGTTCAGTGGTCCTTAGGGGAAGTTGTGGGGGAGGCTTTCGAATTGATCTGGGGTTTGCGATGTAGGAGACTGCGTTTAGACACCGCAGCATCTGGCAAAATCAGATATCTCCAGCTTTGATTCTACGCCTTCCCTTCCGGCCGCAAGTCCAACATTCGCGCTCAGCTCAGGAGTGCCCCAAACATCCTGAAGAGAACGCAGAACGCAACGCCTTTTGACCACGACAGATGAGAAGGTTCAGGGTTCTGAGATTTCCTAAACCCTGGCCTCCATCTCGGCACTTCAAGTTACGAGAATGGCCTTTCTCTGCTCAGTACAAGCCTGATCACAGGTGCAGGGCAACGAGCGCAAGAGCGTCGTTGCATCGAGGACCACGGCATGGGGGGTTCGGGGAGCACGTCAGAAGAACGCCAGGTTGATGTTGTGGGCGAGTGGCCTGTGAATGCTGAGATGCACGTTGGGCCTGGGAAGGACTGGCACGAGGCCTTCGCTGAGCCCTACGCAGCTGGGCTTTCGATTTGGAGAATCGCTAAGGGATGCGGTGCAAAGATCGAAGTCCGTGTCTTGTGTCCGTGTCTGCGACCTCGCCACAGTCGGCTTGATAAAGTGCGAAACCGAAAGCCCTGTACCAAGGAAGAGAGCTTCAAGGGCTGCACCGAGCAGTACGACATCTACACCGCCACGCCAGCTCCCCAGCGGGTTTGGGCAAGGAGACTTTAAAGCCGTTGCAGAGGGGAACCCTGTGCTTTCGCAGATTGTGATGTTGCCAGATCTTGGGATTCTCTTCAGACGGAGCTTTTGTTTTCTGCCCGTGGCGACGGTGTAGCGTGTTCGGCCTTCAGGCTTCAATATTTATGACTAGGACTTGGGTTTTACTGTAGGCTTTGGTCCTCCCCCAGAGGCTTGTGAAATGTTGAGATGCCTAAGCTTGGGGTAGGACAGAGGAAACGTAAGTCCGTCGAAACATGGGGGGGGGCTTGGCAGGACCCTTTTCAAACTTGTATGTCCTAGCTGGCAAGCTAGGGATTATGTAGGTTGCGTTGCCCGAACTTGGGCAACGACCGCATCCATGCCACCACGCTTAGAAGCTGCATGATGACTCCACCGGCAAACTCATGTTAACCCAGGTGTCAGTGGATCCCCGTCACCAGGATTCGCTGTAACAGCTACAAGAAGGTGTAAGCCCTTAATGCACAAAAGGTGCTGTTTGATTTTTGCGTTCTCAGGCAGAAGCACGCGGCCGGACACGCAGCCTGTGCTGAATCGAGGTCCCGGGCCTTCGGGTGTCTTACGGTGTAGGGGCCTAAGATTTAGGTCTAGGGATAGGATTTTTTAACGTTTTCTCTCTGCTCAAAAACAGTGTCTGAAGGGTGTTAAAACGCTCTACGCCTGTGCTCAATGCGAAAGTCCCACGCAAAAGCCTGTAGGAAACTCCGCTCATGTAAACCCCCAAACAGGAACACTGGAATCACATGAACACAGCTCTTGTGCCGAGCATGCATCTCGTGTGCAAGCTTAGTGGTCTTGAGGTTGAGCTGGGTTTTCGTGTCTTCTCAGGCTGGACGCAACACTTACGGGCTTTGCTACTTGAGCATCGGCTCTCGAAGCATTCCCTAGTACAATATCAAAGAACATTTTAACTCACTATAGTCTAACATAATGTACTGTAGCTTATTATAACACAGTACGATACACATCATGCCATATTTATTGTATTACAGTCTGCAACGTGAGCACAAGGTAAGATTTCTCAGTCGTCTCGCCCTGTAGTGTCCGCAGCCCGCAGCAGTTCGATTGCACATTGAGCCGCGAGCTGCCTCCAAATCCAAACACAAAACCGTGCCTGCACCCGAAAAATCTACAGCAAACTCAAGAAAGTTGGAACATGGATTGGGAAGGTTGAAACTTTCTGGCTTCTGCCTTAATCTCAATCGATGTGAGAGCCCGCAATCCTGGCCCGCTTCAAAGCTCGAACTTCAGGCAGACGTGTTTCACGCTGTTGTCGGAAGTCTGGATTTGTGCATACTGGCTGTTCGCGTTTGCCGTGTTTGGTGCGAGTTTTCCGAACTCTTCACCAGCTTCTGTTGCTGCATTGTTAGCAGCATTGCCGTTCTTACTAGTATTAGCGTGACAGTTTGTTGTGCTATCCCTAAATCGTTAACCGATCTTCTGTTAGGCTCCCCCCGGCCGGGTGACAAGCGCGCCAGCGCACTTCGAACGCCGCCACTCCATCGAAGAGTGTTTACAACATTCAGGGGGTTAAGAAGTCTGGACAAGCTGCTCTCTGCACAAGGGGATTTAAGCGGTCAAGATGTTGACAGCACTGTTTGCAAATGGCTTTGCCAAAACTCCCAAGGCTCCACTAGACGTGATTCCATTCAACCCCGAAATCCCAAAGAAGCAAGCCATCCGCATACTTTGAGCACCCGGGCCCAGGCAGTAGATTGGCAGGACCACGAAGATACACGAAGTCCCACCGCACCGGGCCAATGGCAAGGCCTGCAAGCATCCGTGTCAGGGACAGATTTGAACGCTTTGTGGCGAGCCTAGGGCATGTAATCAAGCATGGCGACTATTGGCTTGGGTTGGAAACTGTTTGGTCTCGAGTCCTGAATTTTGACAGGTGCGCCTTCCCGCTCTTTGGTGCATGCTCTGGCTGGCGGACCTCATGCCGAGGAGGGGAGCTCCGTCGCAGATGGCAAGCGCCGCAGCTTCGACCTCAAGCTCGATCCGCACCGCCGCACGCAGCGGCTGGAACGAGGGTGAGCGTGGAGGTTCAGATGAGCTACTTCCCCTGCCGAGCTCACACTGCAGCCTTGCGTGGCTCCAGAGAGCTTCAGCGGTGGCGCGGCAGCTGCAGGAACGTGCGAGCGACAGAGTGGTAGAGGTTTCACAAGGCAGCCGTGATGAGGCACACCCAGGCACGCCCTGCCTCCATTCGCAAGCATGCATGCCTGAACAAGCTTGCTTGTTCGGGAAGATTGTACATACATTGACCCCTGTTGGAACTTGGACTTGCTCCTGCGATGTACGAGGTGAAACCTGAACATTGCAGCCACACTTCGAGAGTATGCACGAGAAAATTCTTTGAGCTGTTTCGCATTCGCCGACTGTTCCCTTTTTTGCACAGTCTTCTGCAGTGACACAGTCGGAGTCTAAACCTTCCGTGAGGATCTCCGAGGTCTCTAAAAACAAACCGCGACTCGTGGACTTATGATCCGTTGCTATTCTAGCCTTCTAGTCAGTCTTGCCAAAGTCAGAGGCTGGGCGACCTTCTGAACCTCACTGCGGAGGCTTCGCCTTTGGATCCACTGCGGCTCAACTGCAAGATGTGGCAACAGTTTGTAGACCGGTGGTATAGCAGCATCACAATGGCTCACGCGTCGTGGTTTTCGCTTGGGTTTTTTAGCTTGAAAAGCTCATCGAAAATCTAGGTTGTCAAGGGGTTGAAGTAGTTGGGTTGAGAGACCATGCACGACATCGTGCGCCCAGCTAAAGCATGGCGACTCAAGAAAATAAGAGAGAGAGAGAGAGAGAGACGCCTCCTAAACCGAGTCCGAAGTTTGAGCCAGCGAACAGAACAAGCATTCGGCAGAGACAGGAAGACACAGAGAAAGGCAGTGAACAAAAAAGCGATGTAACAGAAAGGTTGATAGAATGTAAAGAGAAACCAAATTTGTGGAATCGTTGATTTGGGAGCAGCAAAAGCCAGGTGTCGTCAAGTAAGGTGATTGCTGCGGTCACCTTGCAGGTCAGTTGTTGCCGTCAAGTGCGTCCACGGTTTTGAACTTGTCCAGTTTTTCCATGGCCAAGCTCACAAACTTCGCATGAATTTCGTTTGGTTCGTTTGGCAAAGTTCTTTCATCGTCGGGTTCTTCTTGCCGAGATGATTTCAACAACATCTCGGGGCTCGTGCGGCTGAAGACTTTAACCAAAAAAGCCTCGGCTGTCCTGTGATTTAGGGAAAAAACCCTAAAGCCCCTTAAAGCCTTAAAGACCTCAACCCTAAAGGCCCAAAAGACTCATAGTAAAGCTCCGCAGAAAACAGTGGCCGCTGCCTCAAAACGCAAATAGTGCCATGTTCACAAGCAGCAGCATGGTAGGACCCCACATATCTTAAGAACTCCCAGCTCAAGATGTACAGCGAGATTCTTCCAGAAGAGAAGCCTGTCACAAGTTTTGGCGTATGCCATGTTTGGCTGAAGGCCTCCAGATGTGCCAAACTACGTGGGGAGCCAAGCCGCTCCAAAAAGTTTCGCCCGCTTCTGCGAGGTATTTGGCAGGGTTTTGTGCGGCGTTCTTCGCACTTGAGGTGCAGGTGGTCCGCACCTCCAAGGATGGTGGAGAACGGCTAAAGGCTTTGTTGCCACACGGCGTTGGGGCAATGCTTTGTCGACATGCATGCGCAGTTGGGTGGAAATCGGCGGAACCCGATCCGATTTGCAAGAACTTGGTCCTTGCCACATATCTACACATTGTACAGCGATGGAAGTAGCTGCAAGGTCTTAGTTGGGCTGCATGGGAACCCTATCCTTGTTGGCTGCCACTCTTGAGCTTTCAGGCTCTTCTCATTTGTGTCTGGTGCGCACATCTGCCCCTATCATTGTTGGCTGCCGCTTGTGACTTTTCTGGCTTTCTAGTTCCTGTCTGGGGCACCCCTCTGCCCCGATCCTGTCTGTGCTGGCTCTTCTAACTCGTTTGTCCCTATCCTGTTCGTGCTGGCTGCCACTTGTGCATTTTTCTGGCTCTTCTAGCTCGTGTTTGGTCGTGCGATCTCTGGCTCTTCTTACTGTTTCGTGCTCTCATTTGCCCATATCCTGCTTCTATTGGCTGCTGCTTCTGAGCGTATGAGTTTTCTGGTTTTTCTGACTCCTGTCTGGCGCTGTCGATTCTAGCTCCTGTCACTGCTTGCAAGCGCATCCATGCCCAAACCGTAATAGCATCCATTTACCAGAGCATTCCTTTACCAGAGCGCCCATGCCCAAGCCATAACAACGTAGATTTGCCAGAACATCCGTGCCCAAACTAAAATTACGTCCATTTAGCAAGAGCATCCATTTTCCAGAGCATCCATGCCCAAACCATAGTAGGGTCAATTTCTGTTTGCTTCCACGCGTAGACTCAAACAACGTCAATTTATCGGAGCACCCATGCCCCTTTTCGACAAAGTCGTACATGTCGGCAAGCTTTTGATGACACTGTCGCTCCCAAGCTCGACTTCCTCGGATATTGCGCTTCAACGCAGAATTTCGCCTGCTTCGCGGTAGCAACCATGTTTTTTTACGCATATTCTTCATTGTTACTGTTGCGTTTCGCTACCATTCCTTTGCCCAATATGTATATACATATGTAGATATAGATATATACATATATATGTATATAGATGCATACAGATGTACATACATATATATGTACATATGCAGATGCATGTGTATACATATATATATATATATATATACATATGTATATACATATATATACATATATATGTTCTTCGCAAAAACCATAACAGTCTTGTGCCCTGCCCACATGCAGTGAAGCAAACGGCATGGGCGCCGTACTACGACTACGACTTACTACGACCACTTCTCATGGGCATTGCTGCTACTACGACTACGAGACGACCACTACGACTGCTGCCACTACTACACTCCTGCGGCTGCCTCTGCTAAGATACGGCTACTACTACTACCACCACCACACTACTACTACTACTGCCGCTACTACTCCTACTACTACTACTACTACTACGACTACTACTACTACTACTACTACTACTACTACTACTACTACTACTACTGCTTTCACTCCTACTGCTACTCTTACTGCTGCTACTGCTCTTGTTGCCGATGTTGTTGCTGCTACGGCTACTGCTTCTGCTTCTGAACGGAGGTGATGGTAGCAGCTTTGGTGCCAACAACAGGAGTTCGTGTCTAACAGCACTGATGGTAGCACTAGTCGTCGCAGTCGTCGTACAAGCTGCGGAGCCAGAGGAGCAGAAGGAGGAGCACAACAGCAGGAATAACAACAGGAACAAAGTACGCAGCAACATCCACAAGAACGACAAGATGATACAGCAAACTGATCTCCATTATGGTGATGGCGGTGACTTCGTACAGCTTGTTTCACCTTCGTATTGTGTTGATATGTCGGTAGCGGGGGCAGCAGCAGTGGAAGTAAGAGAGTACGATCTTGTGGTGGCAGGTGTTGCAATCCCTGGCGCTCCAAGACCAAATCGCTCCGCCTGGCAGTTCCAAGATCATTCTGGAGCTCTCATTCGGAAGGGACGTGGTCTTTATGACTTCAGGTTTATGATCCAGGACTTTTTGAAGAGATTCAAGTGAAAAAACGTCGCCAGGGAAGGTTTCGGTGGTTGCAGTGACGCTGCGAATGTCTTGCCGCATGTAGAACGAAGCTTGTTGTCGCCAGCAAATGCTACAGGAGAGACCCTCCCGGCCTCCAGCTTGTTCGATTCGAGAGAGAGAGAGAGAGAGAGAGAGAGAGAGAGAGAGAGAGAGAGAGAGAGCTAGATCCCCAAAGGTCTTCAAACTTGGGCACGGTACCCCTGCCCGACATGACGACGTGTGTACGTAGAAGTGCTTGCCGGAGGAGCCGAGTGTGCGTGCGGCACCCGGTGCGAAGGATCTTGTGCTTGTCTCCAGAAGCAGAGCTGGAGCTCAAGGACATTCAAGGATACAGATGTTGGGATTTGTTGCTGTTTGCATTTGCAGAGCCAGCCCAGGCAGCCTTGACAGAGGATGGGGATATAAGGCGCAGCCAAGACCGATTCATGAAAGTCCTGCAACATAGTAGGCCGTAAGGGAGCCCCAAACCAAAAAGAAACCCAACCTTAAACTCAAGTCCACGCCCTCAGCGTACAAGCTCCGGAAGCTTCAAATTGAGCTGGCTGACTCCCAGATCCAAGGGTTTGAGGCCTCGGGCAGACTCCCCGTCAACTGCTTTATCCCGAGTTGCGACAGCCAGAAGGTTTGCCAGCCTTGCCTGTTAATTTCTCCGGTATCCAAGACTTGGAGCTGTGCATCCGAGCCGGCTGAACTTCAAAGCTTCAACCCGAACTCGCACAACTCCTTTGCGACAGGATTTAGGCTATAGTATAGAACAGAGTTTCTCAAAAAGCTCCCCAGCCTTTTCATTCTCCCCTAACTGGGGTTACGGCACTTATCAGTTACTAAGTCCCCCGAGGCTTCCAGACCTTTCTCGGCTTTGGCGGCAGTTTCACCGAGTCCTCGGCCGAACTCCTCCAGAAGATGAAGCCGAACCAGCAGGCTCCTGCGTGACCACATGGGTAGTTGTCAAAACTAGGGTCCCTTTTTGGGTACCCTAAATAAAAGGTGCCGGCTGGGGAAAGGCCAATGTGCTGTCGCTGGTACTGGAATCCTCGCTGTGGTTCGTCCGAGAGTGAGTGCTGAAATATTAGGTGCCGTATTACATTAGGGACCCAAAAAGGTACCATAATTTTGATAACTACCCACATAGATGTGCAGCGGGTGTCTCTGCATACGTGGATATGGGAGTTTCCGAAAACTCGGGGTACCGTATTTTGGGGTCCTTATAAAAGGGATGTTTGATTTGGATACTATAGGATCCCCTATTTTCGGAAACCCCCATATTCAAAAGTTACAGCCCAGGAGAGCTGTTATTGAAAAAGCCTTCAAAGCTTGTCCTGCTTTTACCATGGTCACCATAAGCCACTCTCCCGCGAAGTGTTTGTTGCATGGAGCAAACACTGCCAGTCTTTGTCGAGTTTCAGTGCTTTCGGTACTGTAGCCACGTTTGCCTGAGATGCTCTGCAGAAGCAACTCAACTTTCACAAAACTGTTGTTTTCAGCATTCTTGAAGTGCTTCGAAATCGTCGGATGAGAGCAACTACATTGCTGGTGGCGGCTTTCGACCAGGATACCGATGACGATACGATTGATGATTGAACATACCGGGAACTGGTCCGCGGTATGGGCATGTTGGGCATATGTCAGTAGAACCCGTGTTGAATCATTGTCATCAGCAGACTCAGCGGTGGTACTTTCATTGCCGTCCTCGTCGTTGCAGTTGCTGTTGTTGTTGTTGCGCCTTGCTGATGTCGACACTGCTGGTGAAGATGATGAGGAGGAGGAGGATCGGAATAATGATGATGATGATGATGATGGGGCTTACATGGGATGACAACGACTCTGCTGTGGTCGAGGTTGATCTTGTCACTGTTGCTGTGCTTCGGAATGATGGCGGATGGAGGCACCAGGAAGTCTCGTTTCTCATTGCAGGAGCAGGTCATCGAAGCCTACTTCAGCCAGGCCGGTGTTTGCACGCCTCCACCCTCCTCCCTCCCTCGCTCCCTCTCTCTCTCTCTCTCTCTCTCTCTCTCTCTCTCTCTCCTTCTTTCTGTGTATGCGCCTGCAACGATGCCTGTCTTTGCCAGCCTGTCAATCTATCTATCTGGCTGTCTGTCTATCTGGCTATATATAAACATATCTACTACCTGTCTACGTGTGCGTGCGGGGACGTGTATGTGTGCATTTACGATATGTAACGTCTTGTCATGTTCCTACAGATTGAAGCACGAACCTCCACGCTCACAAAGGCCGACGCCTGTTTCAGCTGCATCCGTGCAACTTGGGTGCACCACTCTAGCACTAGGCGCTAAGTATTTCAATGACCGCAAGCCCGGCGCAGACAAATTGGAGGTACGATTTCGGCAACTACGCATATGCCTGCACTCCATGACAGTGTTTGTGAGCTTCACAAAGTGCTTCTAAGAACAGATAGGATACGGAGAAGCATTAATTTCGTGTCGTTGTGGTTTCCCCCTGTGTCAGGAGAAGGGCATTGCATACTCTTGGGGTCGCGTCCATATGGGCACCGACCTCGGATCATGAGCGCAAGTCAGCAGAAGCCCTGCGGTTGTTTGGGCCATGAAGCCAGAAACACCACAAAGCCCTTCTCTCATACCCGTTTTTGCTGAGGTGCGTGCGACTTTTCCAGGCTTCCGGCACTGTCCGTGCTCCGGGGTGGTGGGGATGAGTGTGTGCATCGTAGTCCCTTCCGGGAACTCAAGAGACACATCTTGTGGTGGTTTCAACTGATTTCTGATTGCTCGCAGGGGCAACTGGAGCTGCGTTGAGCAAGAGAATGCCGGGGCCAAAGAGCGATGTGCAGTCCATGCAAAGCATGCTTGCAGATCTGCTGCGCCTTTGCATTGCGACCTTATACCGGGCACATGCAGCACTTCTTTCATCCGAAAGCCGGATGTCCACTATTGTTTTGAACCGTCCGAGTTTTCAAGCCCGACAGGACAAGGAGCTGAAAAGCTTCAGCATCGAGCGCTACCGCACGGCCATGTTGCCAATGATCAAGCGCGCGCAGGAGGCAGAAGGGAGAGCATTTCCCAGCGTTGTCATTTTAAGCCTGACGAGCGAGTGAAAGGAGTCGCCAAGTGAAAAGCACGTCAAAGGCTCAGCCTCGACCCACCAACAAGAAGCTTTATGGCAAACACTGCCATCAGATTCGCTTGGAGCCGGAAACTAGATCATACCGGACCTGCAATAGCCCTTCAAGATACCTTCGAAAGACCCGCTAAATGACAGAACCAACTCAAGGTCACACGGTGAGTCCGAAGCTGGAACAGTCGAGAGTAGCTTGAAGCCTGCACTTTGGAGGTCGCCTCGCGGCCGCTGCAGCTGATCGCCTCCCCATGGAGTCCTCCAGCTTGGATGAAGGAGATTCTTATCTTTGGTTAGTAGGGAATGGAAGCTTTGGTTAGTAGGGAATGGAAGAATAGTAGATGTAGCGTTCATGGTCCATGGTCTTGGTCTGGGTACATATAAGCTTGATCAACATGCACGGCCATCCGCCTACCGAAGGAGCAACACTGTGTGAGCTCGGGTCTAGAGATCAGAGACTGGAGGCTGAGGGGCTGAGGGCTGCACAAGATCGGGAATGGTTTTGCGTTTGCTGCGGGGGTGTACTATAACTAACAGTAAAAGACGTGTTCTTAACAATGAAGGTAAAGGCCAGCAGCATAAAACAGATATGTAGAAGATCCAGCACGGAGGTTCTTCGCTCTAGAGGTTTTTGTCCTCCGCCCTGTTGGCCAGGACACAGGGCGCATGCAAGGCGGCGGAACCTTGAAAGATGAGTTCAAGCCCCGCAGCCCAGAGGCTGCTAAATGTGCAGAACGGTCCTAGGCGATCACGTCAACCGACCTTCGTTTTCCAGATGCCGGTACAGCTGCAAGACAACTGCTAGAGAAGGGTGACCGTGTTGCAAAGTTCTTTGTCGACCCAGCTGGGCTCTGCGGGTCCGTAGGCAGTTTCCAAATGGTTCATATCGGGGCTTTAACAATTACCTATACTATTTTGGGGGATTCCTTGTTATAATTATTATAGTATTAGGGACCCCAAAACCTTATTCTAATTATTAAGGCCCCTACATTAGGATAATTTCTCGGAGCACTTTGCCCAGGTCTTCCTGGGCACAGCACTACGTGCTCTTTGCACAGGCCCTTAAGGAGGAGGGTGCTCCGCTCTGGGGATTTACTGCCCGGAAGCCCAGGCAAAGCCGCATAATCACCACAAGTCATTATGTCATTCTTGGCTATTTCGGCTGGGTCGACTTCAGGGACTGGGAACTTGGACTCAGTGTTGAAATTCATTTCAAGCAAGGCTGGGGAATATTGATGGGTCAGGGAGACGCAAACCCTGGTTCAAGTGTAGGCTGTTGCATGAGATAAGGGCCAAGCTTCCGTTCTCTACGATCAGCTATTTTGACGACAGGCAATACGAGCTTGAAGTCATCAGAGCCCGGAGCAGCACTTCAAAGCAGTAGCAATAATACTGTGGAAGAGTCACATCTAATACTGAGACGATAGCATCTCACCAGGTTCAGAACGAGCCTCATGCGCCCCCGCCTCAGTGCTCGTTTGACCATTTAGCCTTGGAGTTCTGACATCCATACAGTAAGCCTTGCCTTCCGATATGCGGACCGCACGCACATACGTGTTGGAAGAAACGCAAGGCCTGATATGGAAGAATTCCGATCTGCGACGCGTTTGCGACAAGATGTTGGGAACTTGATACGTCGGAACCAATACTCACAAAATCCCGGCAAGAAGCAGAGCTTCGATCGGTTCGCAGCCTTGGGGCTGAAACTGATATAGAGTTTCCGAAAATTGGGGGGTACCTTATTTTGGGGTCCTTATAATAAGGATCCTACTATTTAGGGTACTATATTAGGGTCCCCTATCTTCGGAAACTCCCATATAGAGGGTTGACCCTAAGGCTTGGTGTTTCGATGACTTGTCGTGAAGCAATGCAGCCCGAGCCCCGAAGCCTGGGAGCCCTACAGCGATATTCGAAGTCACTGAACCCCAAACCCAAAAGCATTAAGCTCTAAATACCCCAAACCCCAAACCCAAAAGCGTTAAGCTCTAAACCCGCCAAACACAACTGGCGGATAGAATGCGCTGGATCTGGTCCCCAACAGCGCCGCCTTGAGCCTTCGATGACAGGTTGCCAGGGCAGCACTGCACGTATAACCGTAGCAGTCGGGAAGACCCTCGAGTCGAAAACCCGCCAAGATCCAAAGGACCACACCCTGGGAGAATTGTTTGTACAACGGCGACATGGAGCGGGACTTCGTCAAAGATCACCTGGGGCCTGCTTTGGAGGTCCAACCCCTCCTCTTTTTTGAGAGGGTTTTCCTGTCGAATCTGCTGCTCACAATAGAGCAGTCTCTTGTCTCTGGATTTCCAAAACGTTTTATTGTAAACTATTGCTTTGATCACTGTCACATTGATGTCTTTGCAGTGCACTTTCAAAATCCAGACCATCTCGCTGACATGCCAATGCAAGGATCTCATTGCCACATGCCTTCGAAGCTGGTTATGGTGTACTTCAGTGTGGTGGGTCTGAATTGTGTATGTTGCAGTGACTGATTGGGTCCGCGGTTTGGGTTCGATGCCTGATTGTTTCTCGTGGGTTACATGTCACGCTAGACCTTGAGCCTGTGGACATCTCTGGGCTTTGACAGCACATCGAGTCGGCGAGCTGGACTGGCATCGTTTTGAAATGCGAACAAGCCAGGGCGGTTCCACTAGTTGTCAAGGAACACTCCAAACATTCCTCCGTGCATCGAAAGTCGTGTTATGCACAGCAGGCCAGTGGCCTGGATCTCAAACTCCTCGTTTGGGATCACAACCGCCGCTCGGACTTGTCACAGATGCCTTAGAAGGGCTTTTGTTCTTGCTCTGCCCTACACGACCTGAGTACGGTCGGGGTACAGTAGGCACACCCTCGCTTCGATGGCCGCGTGATGAGAGTGGCACAGGATAAAGCAATCACAGTTTGCTCTCGGTGCGTTCTTCTGTCAACCTGAAAGGCGACGAGATGTTTGCCCGCGCGCCGAGACCTCAGGGTAGGAACGAAAAAGCATCGATAACACCACATGGTAGCTCCACTTTTTCGGTTGGCCCCAAGTCCCTCACACTTGGATTGTGTGGGAGCAATCCACACTTGCAGGCATGCCTCTGTCGGCTTCTTGGCACTGTTGCTGCCGAGGCACACAATCTACAGCGACCCGGAGGCTGCAAAGTACATCTGGGGGTTCGGGACTCAGTGCGTGGCATCTGTTCGCAGAAGCTAGCTTGGCCGCGAGCTTTCAGTCGACACCTTGAGACATGTCTTCACTTCTTTCGGTGCAACTGTCACCAGAGCGCTCTGACTCTGGATTCGGCTCGCAATCAACAACTCCTGATTGAGTTTCTTGGGGGGGGGGGGCGGGGGACCTACCTCATACCTCTTGAGTCAAGTTCGCAATGATTCATCCAGCAGTCTCAATGTCCCCTTGGATTCAAGCCTTTTCTGACGAGCCACCTGTCGTAGCAAGTCGCACACGGCATTACAGTGGCCCTAAACCCTAAAACTTTTAAGTTTTGGAGGGCCCATGCTCTTCGACGGGGGCAGCTCATGAATAGACAGCGACCTGAAGTTTCTGCTGGTCCGTATGCATGATTGTCAAAACAGTGGTGCAGCTTAAGATTACTATACTAAACTATATACTAAAATGTACTAAACTATAAACCAGACTATACTAAACTATATACCAGACTATACTAAACTATATACTATACAAGGATCGGATACCATTGGTATGGCGATCCACGCTACGAGTTCTGGCCGGCCAGAGAAGGCGCTATCAGAGGGAGTGCTTGAATAACTACCTATGTTATTTTGGGGGTTCCTTAGTATAACTATAGTATTATTTTGGGGGTTCCTTATTATAACTATAGTATTAATAATTATAGTATTATTTTTTTTGGGTGGGGGTCCTTGTTTTAATTATAGTATTATTTTGGGGGGTTCCTTATTCTGATTATAGTATTATTTTCGGGGGTTCCTTATAATTACAGTATTATTTTGGGTGGTTCCTTATTTTTCCTTATAGGATTGTGCTGGGGGGGTCCTCATTATATAACTATAGTAGTATTTTTTGGGGTGTCCTTATTATAGTTATAGTATTATCATAATTTTAGTATTATTTTGGGTGGGTTCCTTATTATAATTATAGTATTGTTTCGGGGGGGTCCTTATTATAGTTACAGTATTTTTTTGCGCGGGTTCCTCATTATAATTACAGTATTATTTTGGTGGTTCCTTATTTCCTTATGATGTTTAATCTAATGGGCCCCGAAACCCTATTCTAATTATTCCAGGTGCTCAATCCCAGTCGGAGCTTGAGGTGTAGCCGTCAGGGCACAGCGGCAGCGGTCTCCTATGCGTTTTACGTAGAGCAAGGCTCTGCCGTGGAATGGAGACAGTTTCATTCCAAGACCTCTCCGAGAGCTGCAACACAAATTGCAATTTGACATATCTCCCTTCGCACTAGACACACTCGACCTTGCTGCAGGCCAAGAGGCTGTAAACACAGACGCCCCGCCCAATGACAGCCGGTGCATCCGGTGCGTGAGTCATGACTTCGTGGTAAAGCCATTGCCTCGGACAGGCATGACGCTTTTTGACAATGCCTTGCCCTCGGAGCCTTCAGCAACATTCGAGGCTTTCCAACACAAGAGTCTGTCCATCTTCAACCTAAAAGCAAACCTTTAAATCCTGAGGTGCGGAAGGTCCATGAGTTGAGACCGGATAAGCACATCATCATGACCGAGGCCTGCCAGGAGCCCCAAAGCATGTCAGGTGTCACCTTGTGCGGGGGGCGGGGGGGCGAGGGCTCATGTTTTGCCATTGACAACCTAGTATTCAGGATTTCGGGTCAAGGATGAATAGGTTGGTCTTCGTGGGGTATATGTGAATGCAGTGAGTCTAAAATGCTCACGACCATGAGCAATTCCAGCTTTGCCCGGTACAGGAAGTGAGATAGCTGATCATACTAGATCGTTGCTCTATAAAGACGAAGTGTGACTTCGCACGTCTCGGTTCTTGAAGGTTGCTCATATCCTCTCGCGACGACTAAGGTGAAAGATACGCCAAAAACCCTGAACCGTTCCAAAGATGAAGGTGCTTTCAGGGCCTTAGCTTGAAAGAACCACACCTTGCAAAGAAGGCCTCGCAACTGAAGGAAGTCGGCCGTGGCTTACCAAAAACCGGGTTCGGAGCTTGGGGTTGCAAGCTGCTCAGCGCCCAAACATGGAAACTGAACACGCGAAAGTATCGCAGGAGACTGGCCCTCGCATCGGAGACTGGCAATTGGGGGAGCGCTATGCCGAGGCCATCATCAAGGACTTCAAGCATGGGATTCGGAATTTCGGAAGTTGCATGGTCGATTGCGGATGTTGGGACTTCGGACAGCTGTGGCCTTTTGATCATTGCATCCGAATTGAAGGACCTGGAGGCATGGCTCGAGGCGTGGATCGACTGGAACCTGATCTTGGACTGCTTCTTGGTGCTCTTCTCCGGGGGCCTCAAGCTGCAAGGGGTACTAGTAGGGTCTCATCTTGGGGCTTCTTGAAACAAGGGACAAGGGGCCTCAGGAATCGCGCTTCAGGGTGGTCCCTCTTATACTTGCATGGTCAAGATTGTTGGGATTGGAACAATCTCCACATCAGCTCAGAATGGCCTAGCTGCTCCTCCTTCTCGAGCCGGGTACCGTATTTTTTTTGTCAATTTTTCTGGTTTTTTTCTGTCTATTTTTCTGGTTTTAGGTTGAACGCAAACGAAAGAAAGAAGGAGAGAAACGGAAGCCGGAAAGAAAGAAAGGAGCAAAGAAACAAACAAAGAAAGCAAGAAAGGAAGACACCAGGAAGAGGAGAAAGAAAGAAAGGACGAAGGACAGAAAGACAGGAAGGAAGGAACGAAGGACGACAGAAAGAAAGAAAGAAAGAACGAAGACGGGAACAAAGGAAGAAAGCAAGAAAGCAACACACCAGAATGGGGAGAAAGAAAGAAAGGAAGGAAGGACAGAAGGACAGACAGAAGCAAAGAAATAAGAACGCAGGAAAGACAGAGAGACAGAACAGAAGAAATGAATATCGAAAAACAGAAAGCCAGCAAGGACGACCAGAAGGAGTGTTAGAAAGAACGGAGCAAAGAAAGAACCCAAGAACGAAAGCAGGATAATTAGACAGCAAGAAGCAAAGACCAGAGACCCCGCTGTTTTGAGCTGTGTGCAAGCTTGCTTGACAGCATAGACGTCGTTTTTGAAACCCACCCTGCATAAAATATAAGGCTTTTTGAAACAATGCCATTACCATGCAAAGAGTGTCTTTGCAAATGGAAGGCCTGCCACGGGCGTGCGAGAGTGCCGAGCTTGCTTGACAGCATATATGTGTTTTGTTGAAAACCCCACCATGCGAGCATCCTCATGAGCTGCCCCCCTTAAACCGCCCCGCCGCATAGATTTTGTTGTAAACCAGACATGCGAGCATCGTGATTGCAATTGGGGGGGGCTGCGCCCCCCCCAACCCCCCCGCTGTGTAAGCCGTGTGCCAGGTTGCATGACAGCATAGGAGTCGTGACAGCACATACACATGTTTTAACCAACCACGCGAGCATCATGCTTGCAAATCGGGGGGGCTGCGCCCCCCCAACCCCCCCACTGCTTTAAACCATGTGCAAGCTTGCGTGACCGCAGCTTTGCTTGACAGCATATATTTTTGTTTAAAACCAACCATGCGAGCATCATGATTGCCGCCCTTAAACCCCCCCGGCCGCATGTGATTTGTGGTAAACCAGCCATACGAGGATCGTGATTGCAACTGGAAGGGGTTGCGCCCCCCCCAACCCCCCCGCTGCTATAAGCCGTGATTGCATGACAGCATAGGAGTCGTTTTGGAAACCCGCGATGCCTAGCATATCCTAGGATGAATCTTTTAATTAGAAACAACACCCTTCACCTTGTGAAAAGTGTGCTTGCAATTGGGAAGCATGCGCCGAACGTGCGAGAGTGGCATGCTTGCTTGACAGCACATACGCGTTTGACCAACAAAAAATACCACCCTCCTCCTCTCAAAAAAAAACACAAAAAACATCCTCCAGGTCGTTGATCTCTCAGCATTAGGGCAAAGGTGCAGGAATCAGTGCGGATTAAGGTTCAGCAGACATGGGCCATACAATCTATTTCTACAGTCCCAGGCGCCTCTCCACCCAGACCGCAACCGCAGAGTCTTAGAGTTTCAATCCAGAAGCTTCGCGGATGCTATAAGCGCGCGGGGCAAAAAAGAAGTGTGAGAGACACGGCAGCATTGTGGCAGGAGCTTCGGACAGTCCAGCAGCTGCCGCGAGACGAGCGAAGAAGTTTGGGAAGCTTTGAAACCGAAAAATCTACAAAAATCCCGAAAACATACGCAAGGAAGAATTCCAGTCAGAGGTGGAGAACGGTCACGGCCACTAGGCTAGATTCCGAAAACCAAGGAAAGCATAACTAAAACCAGGAAAATGTACAAAAAATACCAGAAAAATACACAAAAAAGAACTCCAGTCAGAGGTGGCGAACGGTCACGGCCACCAGGCTAGATTCCGAAAACCAAGGAAAACAGAACTAAAACCAGGAAAATATACAAAAAAAACCAGAAAAATAGACAAAATAAATACTCGCTCCTTCTCGTGCCTGTATCGGAGACGGACGCGTGCTGAGTGCTACCCTTTGCATCACCAGATGACTGAGGCCCTGAACCTCATAAAACCCACATTGAAGAGCACGACCCGAAGCAGATACGAGTACCGTAGTTCTTTTTTTGGAAGCAAGGCTTCCGCGGGAATGTTGCATGCCTCCTTGAAGGACGAGCGCGGGGGGCCGAATCACGTACAGAACCTGGTGTCGGCATGGACCTTGGCTCTGACAGTCATGGCTCTTGGCGTATCGATTGATGCAGTGGCCGACGATTAGCCACAGACCAATCTACCTGCAGCTGTCACGCATTTCCCCTCAACATGAAACCGTCAAATGTTGTGTTTGATCACAGTAATCCTTTCAAGAATAGCACTCGAAGTAGACGTGAAGAAGTGCACAAGGCACCTGTGATCTTCGACACGGAGCGGGCCCGGAGACCAAGCTCATACTGAATGTGGCGGGAGCTGCTACTCAGGGTTACTATATGCAGCATTGTGCAGGCCAGGAGTGGTGCTGTTCCTACTACAAGTAGGAATCTAGCATGATCAAAACTATCCGCCTCATTGGTCTTCTAGTCCGACGAAACTTTCGGCTGTCATGGAAGGTTTGGCACAGAGGATCTTCGAAGCAGCTTGCAGGTTAGAGTGTCGAGCCGGCAAGGTCGCCGAATGTGCAACCGCCAACTGCCGCAACGAACACACCTGCCCACAAATTTTGAAGCATAATATGATACATATACATATGCATATATATATATATATATATATTACATAAGCAAATACGGATCAAATAATATAGTATAGATAGAATCTTAAAGCCAGTTTGATGGAACTTGAAACTTAAGACCCACAGCAAGCAACAGAACATAGAATCGAAGCCACTGACTGGTCCTGTAGTTCAAGGGGAAGCTGCTGTACCTCTCCTCCTTCTACTACATCGGCCAGTTTTCGTCTGCTCCCCAAGCATTCTGCGAGTTTTGTGGTTGCCGCATTGCATGTCGGAGATGAGGTGTCCAGGTTTGGTTTGCCAAATTATGAGCTGCAGTCGGACCTTGCGGGCATGCTGTCAGTCAGCTTCGAGTTCCACTTCACCGGAACCCTTATCCCTTTACCCGACTCTACCGTTTGGAACCTGCCGGAAACACGAGGCGGTACATCAAGCCCGGGGCGCAGCGAATCTCCACCAGTAGCAGCCGAGACAAGCTCGAGGCGCCGACAGTGCCACAGAACCCAACGATCCTCAACCCAACGCCAACTTCAGAGGGAAAAAGATTTACAACGCTTCGTGCTTCGTTGGGGTGCGGAGTGAGACACGACCACGAGGTGCAGCTTACAGTTCAACACCAGGAACTTCAGTTCCGATGTACAGATCGCAGGAGCACACTCATTCAAATTATAGCTGGTTTTGCTACACTTTCCCATAGGATTTTTGTAGCTTTGATTTGCTCGGGATGGCCGTGTGCAGCCGACTGGCACTTGATGTCACATTTGGCCAGAATTTCTGAAGAGCAGTCGAAAGTTTTGACACGACAGCAATCATGTACTTTGTAGCTCCCGAAATGAGAGAGAGAAGCACACATCCACAAAATGCTGGAGTACCCGGAAGCCTCGGGTAGTTGTGCGAGCCCAGAGAGCGAGACTGGCCGAAGCCGACTCCAGCGATCGACCGGCAGGCCACGGGATTCGTGAATCCGGATGGCTCCGTGGTGGCGGTGGTCCTCAATCAGGATGCAATTCAATCTTTCAATTTTTCACGCTTGATCAGGGACTCCTTGGCTCAGGGCCTCAGGAAAGTGGACTACAAAACAGGCTTCCTACTCTCGACGCACAAAAAATCGCAGTGCAAAGTTCTCCACATCCCAGCGAGCTCTTGGGCTCAGGATTCTCCTTTGACGTTTAGGCTACAGGGGTAGATGTGCCGACTTGTGCTCTTGCCTCCGAACCTTGTGACTTCTTGATGAAGCCTGGCACCAAAGAGCCTTCAGGAGGATTACGAGATCGGCTTTTGGCTTCAAGCCGCCTCCTCAGGCTGTCATGGGGCCAGGGATCCTTGCAGCGGCTACGTGCTAGTGCTTCGTAGCATTGGCAAGAGAGCTTGAAATTCCGCTATGCTCTGGTCGGTTGAGATTCGACTGCTCCCACCAGCTCAGAGCCGAAAGGCAAGACAAGAACCGACAGCTCAGAGCCCGCAGGATCCATGCATCGGGCCTTGACTTTGCCTTGCGTGTTGAATCCTTACAGGCTTCCCCTTGTACCTTTCGTGTAGGACTTCGGGTGGTGGCGTGATAGCCTTGCAGATTTTGCGGTTTTTGCTGGAGGCCGAAGTCGGTCAGCCGACGTAGTTGAAGAACGGGATGCTTCTTATTCTGTCAGAAGCCGAAATGCCTTCAGCTGTTGCGAAATGTGCATCGAATAGCTTGCTGCGAGCTTCACCCTTCGAAGACGACAGTTTTAATGTAGCAATGGCTTCGTTTTTTCTAGGCTTGGGAGTACCATACTTTAATACTTTTTCGGGGACCTGCAATTTACAGGGGACCATCATGAAATAACAGTCTATACTTTTTCTCCTTGGCTACTTCAAAGCCTAGTTTAGGATGGCAGCAAGAATCTCGCCTCGGGATGCTACCAGCATGCCTGAGCTTCTACACAGCAACATCACCTGACGACAATGATCTGGGGATGGCCTTGCCACCCGAAGCCCATGAAAGCCGTTCATTGTTGTGGCCAGAGCACTAGACCGCCGCTCTAAATGCTAAAACAGGGGGAAGCCTTCATCTCCCAACAGCCGAGGTTGCCGGCAGATCTGTCGAAACTCAGGCCGGCCAAAGGGTCAAGCTTGGATGTTGGGGAGCATTTGGAGCCTCTCCTTGCGTGGTGTTGGAGTTTCTTTGCATGGTGAGGTGCAAGCTCCAGGGCCAGGGTTACTGTCACTACTAGCACGGGCAGGACTCTGTGGCCAGCCAACTTTTGTGTATGCAGATAAAAGCACGGAGCTCCCTCTCCCGGAATCTGCCCCTCAACAAATATATGTGGCAAGCCGAAAGAAGCAGAATGGGGCTTGCAAAGCGGGAGTTGCATAAGCGCCAATCAGTCGACCCCAAGCAAGCTTATTCTGACTATCGCGAGGCCCCTACAGCGTTGTGCATTCAGTGGTTGTGTTGCTTGGGGCGCGGTTGGACTATCAGTTCTGAAACCCTGAAGTTTAAAGCCAAGACTGGAAGCCGTAGCTTCAAAGTCGGAGCATGCCAGGCTCCTCCTCGGTCGATAACCACCTACGTGATTCCAAAGATCGCAGACCCACCTCCCACTTGGAGACTCGGCCTTTGAACATTGAACTGGGGAAGAAGCGCCCATTCAAGGTCATCGACCTGAAGCCATGCACCCCATTTTGGATGCAGCGGGTGACGAACCAAGGATGGTGGACGAGACTGCAGAGGAGCAGTAAGCAAACAGTTGTCGAAACGCTGCAGACATGCTGGCCTCGGATGACAGCTACTGACGGCTGCTCATTGTGGTGTGACGTCGTCAGGCAGGAGAAAACAACTTCTTGTGGAGCTGCCTGTGTCCGCACACATACCACAAGTGCTTCAACAGACCAGTGACTAGTGCAGTGGCTGATGCCATGCTACTCATTTCGTCATCCATTTGACGGCTATTGTTGCTTACGTCGCTTATGCGCATAAGCATTTCCTGTGTTGCGATTGATAAATACATTACTAGAACCATTGCTCAGTTGTCAGCTGAAAAGGCCTGCCTCACTAACTGCTTGCAGGGCGGAAAGTGCAGGAGCCCAAAATCTGAAACCCTAAACTGTTGCGAGCCAGCAGACAAAAGCGACAAGGCGGATATGGAAATCCTGAGCGCTCATATGCTCCGACAGTTCGTGGTTTAGGGCTCATTCTCAATAGATCCAAGAGTCCGTATGTCAGCCACGGATCCGGATCCGATTCCAGGATTGTTTTCTCCGATATGGGCTCTAATACGTTTCGAGTACGAAGCGGGAATGCGGGTTGGAATACGAATACTGTTGGGAATACGAGTTGGGCTGGATGGAATACGGTTTTAGTACGGGTTCGGATGTGGGCTTGAATCCGTTTTGAATACGGTTGAGAATATAGGTCGAGAAACGAAATACGCGTACAAAAACGATTGAGAATACTTACATGTAGCGGGTCGCTCTACTTCCGGTGTGGCCTCGTTGTCTGGGGAAAACTGTCGAACGTCTTCCTTGTAGCCTTTTGTCCTTTCTCCGAAAATATCTGCAGAATTACTTTTCGTGTCTGATTTCCCAAGCTCGCAGAGGGTCCAAGAAGAGTGTGGAATACGGGTCTGGATACGGAGTCGAAT